CTAACGCCACGGATGGGCTGTACTAGGAGTCAAATCGCATTCATTTAAAATTTCCATAACCAGGCTCAACTCCGATAAATATAAAGTGGTTTAAATAATAAAGAGCATAGATATGCGCCACACCGGACAGGATCGTGGAGTACAGCCGCGGCGAAAAGCCACCATCACCCGCATATACAGTCGCATTTGTGCCACCGTAGCCGGAGACTCACATATCCTCCACCGCCCCCAGTCCCCCCTCTTCCCCGCAGATCACGCCGGTTCTGACTTTGCATTGGCCGTCCGCCCCCTGGCATCCCCCGTCTCCAGGCACCGTCCCCGATCGCGAACACCCTCCCATTCACGCTACGGCTTTCCCGGTTCTTCTTACCCTGGTGTCTCTCCGGTTCGGATCAGCACAGTCTCGCTGCAGTCACTTGCCGGATACCCAGAAGCTTTGCAGTTTTAAAAGAAAAAACCCTTGGTGCTTGTCTCTCCCCCCCGCAGCTTGTCCCCTCGGCGAACCCCGTAACTCCACGGCGGTCTCCCCTCTCCTCCATGCCCCCAGCTCGGTGACGTCAGGGCCGAGCTAGAGGGACCGTGTCGGGGAGCCGGAGCCGGAGAAGGAGGCGGCACGGCCAAGACAAATTTCATCAATCTGTGAAAGAAAAATTAGTTTACTACGGCTTAATGGCAGGACCGCCGTCTTTGGGGGTCAAGCCCGGGGGATGGGGAGCAGGGGAGGGCCAAGGTGGGAGGGGTTGCGCGTCATGGGGGCCGGTTAAAGTAATTTTGTCCCGGACCTGGGGATTATCCTTAAACTTACACATACTTTAATTAAACACTTGAATTAAATAGTATGCTTTCAGATGGGGAAAAAAGACGCTCGTTTGATACAACGGCTAACATTGCACTCTGTGTCCATAGGTACACATCGCCTTTTCTGTGAATTTTAATAAAACGTGAATCAGATCTCTGCTCGCACGCATGGGACGAATGTCCTGAACTGGACTTTAGTCCATCTCAGGAGACTGACCCATTAACACAAACGCAATAAACAGATTGATTCAACCTGTGGAAGGATCCAGCTAAACCAATTGGAAACCAGACACAGTGTCCAACAGACACATTTTTCCTGCTGTACAAAATCTCACAGACGTCTCGCTCTACCAGGACTAAACTGTTTTATCTGGCCATTCATCTTCTAACCTCGTTAGAAAGCCTTGGGAGTCTGGAGCCTGTCCCGGGCAACACAGGGGTACAGCCGGAACCTGCTGGCAGTCCGTCATACACTCACAAACATAGCCATTCACTACTGTCACTTATTATAACTGCATGTCTTTGCACTGCAGGAGCGACCCTAACCACTGAGCCGCCACGCCACCCCTACTATGTAAATCCTATGGAAATTACACAATGAAGGCATTGCATGGGTTTGCAGCACAGATGAATCCTACGGGGTGCAGGGGAACAATTGCACCCCCTACTGGTCAGATGAAAATGCTATTCGAACATGTTAAGTTCAATAAAATTGGACTATATTGTGAAGTTATATTTGAAAAAATGAAACTTGTGTTAGTCATATTAATGTATAATAATAATTTATTGTAAATCTATTTATTATTTTTTGCAAATTTATTTATCTGGTTGAGTAGCCTATGGTTTGCAGGTTTGAATATCAAATGCGCTGAAATGAACCAAAGCAGAATTTCCATGGAATGTGATTAACTGCTGTTGTTACATTATTACATTGACAGCATGCAGCGTGATAACCTTGGGGGGGGGGGGGGGGGGTGTCTGAAAGATCTCCAGTTTGGACCACTGGTCGGCTGACTTAATCCTTCAGTCGATGAATTAATGACTTAAATATGACTTAGTCAACCGTGATTGCTGAATTCTTGCCGTGATTTGATTCAAATGTCTGAATTCCTTCGGAGATGTGTCATTGAAAAAGCTTAAAAAGTAATAGATTTATCATTTTGTTGCTTCTAAGCAGCGGTCCCTCAGAACTCGTTAGAGGGTTATTGCTTTAGCCAGAGTAAAACTATGATGCAACTCTGCCCTCTGTTGTTCGTGCCGTGTATTTACATGGACTATATGATAACGTTTATTGTAGTTATTGACAGAAATGTAAATTGAAACCAGTCATGAAATATAAGGAAGACGTGACCAAGTTGCACCCAGGTCAAAACTTGTGTGGGATTCCGGTATGACCCAAAATAAATTTTTAAGTAGAAAAGTATGATTTATTTTATATGAAATGCCCCCCCAACCCCCTTTATCTCATTGTACATACGTGATGTGCTCACCTTTGGACCGCTACTTGGTGCTGTACACCCAGAGGAAGATAATTTTTTTCTCCTGGTGGAAATCCCAGTTGAAACCTCAAGCCCCCATTGAACCGTTTTATTGAGGTTTTTGGGGCAGATTATCTGATCTCTGTTGTTTTTGGGAATATCGATTTTCTTCTCGTTGGTTTCAACTGCCAGAAACCTTCACTGATCCTGCTGGGAAGGCTGATGGAAAATTCGTCAGGGGTTCCTATACCAGTTTTATACCAGTTTGACTGCGTATCAACTTTCTGAGGTCTTTGAGATGACTGTGACACATTCATTCTGCAAATATGTTTCTGTTCATTGTATTTATATTATCACTTGGCATTTTTTTTGCTATAAACATTCTTTTGAATCAAAGTAGAAAAGTGCACGAATGTCATAAAAAGGATGACGCAGACCAGTATTCAACAATACAATCACAGCTTCCAAATTATAACAGGCTGGAACAGACTGATGTGCTGAGTAAAAACATGTCATCTTGTGACATTTTCACAGTGACACTTAAAGACATTCAGGTTCTCTACAAATTTCCTGTGCCAGTCTGTGTATGACTCATAGCCATGTGAAAAAGTAAGTACACCCCATCATTTTTTTGTTTTTGAACATTTTTGGACAGACATGTATTTAGCTCTTCATTTCAACAACACCAATAGAGAAATATGATAAAATTGAAAAAAGTTATGTTTGAAATTTACATATAATAATGTTAAAATAACCAAAGTTTCTAATTTCTTTAAGAAAACAGTTAGTACACCCCTACATTTATTGCCACGTTAAGCCTACAAATTAGAATCAGATGCACCAAATTAGGTGCAAATCGGTGATTATTAGATGGCATCCTTTTATGGTTTTGTCCTGTCATAGCTAGTTAGGTGTGTAGTACTAGTGATAGACAATGATGCTTCATGAACCATTTGCTGTATTTTTTGACTCCACTAGATGGTGCTCTCTGTTCAAGAAAGGGCACAAAGCATGTCCCAAAGCAAACCAAGAGCACCATACAGTGCTTCAGATTCAGCCCAAGAGCACAACATGCATCATGATGTCTCAAAAAGCCCAAAGGAGTCATCAAGGGATTACCAGTCCGTGTGGATGTGCAGGAGACTGACAGGGAAAGGTGGCCTATCTGTGAGGTCAGCCAAGGAGGAGCCTCTGGAAAAAAAACAGCATGTGAGGAAAGAACCTCATAGCCACTGTGAAGCATGGTGGTAGGAGTGTTTTGGTTTGAAATTGCGTTTCTGCCTTAGGACCTGGTCAACTTGTCATTATATAGTGTCTACAATGACTTTAACATCACACTAGACCAGGGGTAGGCAGCCCTGATCCCGGAGTGTCAGCATCCAGCAGGTTTTCCATCCTACCTGAAGAGGTACTATCTGCCTGAGATCAGGTGTGGTTCAACAGAGAAACCGAAAATGTATTTCAGACATCCCGTCTCCTGCAAATCATTCGCAATGTCCCGGAAATCTGTCTTTACGCCATTCAGCAGTGATGAAAGTAGCCGGCAAGAAGTTCTACCACCATCTAGCTCTGGTCAACAGATTTTGCCCACCCCGCCAACCTATGGGACGGAGTGGTGGCTCTGAAGCTTGGGATCTGTACTAGCAACTGGAAGGTTCCATGGGCCCTTGAGCAAGGCCCTTAACCTGCAATTGCTTCGTCCTGGGTATGATGTTAATCTACATCCAGCCCTGCAAGCAGGTCCTCCAACTTACATGGAATAACTTTGGGTTGGTGGCAGGATTGGCACTGTAGCCACCGGAAAAACCTCACACTGCTCCATTAGGACTAGTGGGTGATACCTCAGCACCATATACATACATATATACACACACAGTATTTCCGTCAACCAGCCAATCATTGGTCAGCATCCCCGCCCTCCTGGATGCCCCTCATCTGCCTCCCTGAAGTCAGCATCCCTAATGAGTGAGTTGTTGAAGACTTGAGCTACAACTCTGTGTAAAATGAGCTCACATGATGCCTCAGTGGCAGCCAGACCCAGAGCGTGTGCAGTTTTGCAGGATTAGAGTATCATAGCATCACAGATCATAACACTTAATGCAGCAGCCAAAGCCGGTATGTGAGCAGCTGCTTAGAGGGATCATGAAAGGTCAACAGTGGGAAACAGACCAGGGTCTGAAGCCAGAGAAATGTCGTATTATTTAGTTCAGTGAAAATCTGTGAAGGGGCAGCCATCGCGTCACTCATCAGCAGGTGTACCAGAAACTCTCCATCGCCCCCTGCAGGTAATCACTGCTGGCGGCGTGACGTACCACGACCAGCCATGGCATAAAGTCTGCTTCCTGTGCACCGGCTGTGAACAGGAGCTGTCCAGCCAACGGTTCACCTCCCGCGATGACACTCCCTACTGCCTCAGCTGCTTCTGTATGCCAAGAAATGCAACACCTGCACCAAACCTATTAGCGGTACACTCCCCTCCATGCATTTCTTAATGATCTGGTCCAATACAGCAGTGTTTCCCTACCCGGCCCTCAGGGGCCCACAGACAGTCCACATTTTTGCTCCCTCCCAAAATGTGAACCGTCTAGCAGGGAGCAAAAACATGGACCATCTGTAGGTTTCCAAGGTGAAATATAGTATTTGCATATGATTGATACAACAGAAGGTGACTGTCCAAAACTGAAACCTATCAGCATTATTTCATAGATATTGGCTGGAAACTTGGGACCCTCAGTTGTGTTGGGTGGAGTTAAATTTATTTTTATATAGCGCCTTTCATAACAGAGTTACCCTAAGGCCCTTCTCATGGGTGTGTTGTGGTACATAAGAACATCAAGACAGAATAATACAGAAACAGGGAAAGGGGAAGAAAAAGGACTGAAAGAAATGAAAAAGAACCAAAAGAAAAGCCAGATGACAACAGGGAAGAGGAACCAAAAACTCCCAGTTAAGGGGCTTTTAGGTTTGGTCTGTCCCTACAGTTAAAAGTGCTTCTTATCACAGTAACCTGACACAAACGGGCAGGAATAACTGTGTTCTTAGGAATGCAATCAGGTGCCACTTTACCTGGTGACCATCCAACAGCAGCCTAAGCTGCAAACATATATGGAAGCAGCAAACATATATGGAAGCAGCTATTAAATTAAGTAGCAGTTAATGGTTAAATGGGGACGACACAATGTGACTCCAGATCAGTCACCCCTGCAGGGCGAGGGGGCAGTAAGTACATCTCCTCTGGGCAGCGCCAGTGGCACAACCACTGTTTAGGCTGCATGCACCGCGCAGTGTCACTGGCAGGGCACAGCATCCTCACATGCTGGGGTGACATCCTGCATCCCGACTGTGGTGAGGAGCACCCGGGTCGCTCTGGAACCGCCTCAGCAGAACCTGCTTCCCCATGCAGGCCAGCCAGTTAGGGATCCACCCCTGCCTTATTTCACAGCTACAGCGCAGATGCTAGAACATTTACGTCATGTTTATGTCTTTCTCTGAGATTTCACAAACTCATAAATATTACACAGAAATTACATAACGGCCAATTACGTAACAGCTAATCACTCTGCCCCACCCTCACAGCGCAGGAAATTAGCCAAACAGCCGGCGCGACGTGCATTTCCATCTCTCTGCAGACTTCTTAGCTGGACTGAATACAAATAAATCCTCAGCTTCCATTTCTGCTCTAATCTCATTCAGACCCAGCAGCAGGTAGAGACAGACAGTCATCTTTTTATTGGATTTTCTCAGACCCGCAATCATACAGCGAGTATTTCCAGCTCTCCAATACAAATATGGTACAGCTCCGAAACACACCAACCACATGCCTATGACCAAAAGTAAACCAGTAAAAGCTTTATAAATGTAGTCAATCATTTCCCTAAAACTCTGGAAATAGACATGACCTATTGCTGTATTTTCTACAGTTTCCCCCCAATCCCCTGCTCCACACAAGACATCACAGCAGCTGCTCGCTTTTCTGGGACGTCCAGGAGTCACAGCTAGTTGCCGTTTGTGTCACAGCATAAGTCCGTACAGCAGTTGAAGCAGCACTCAATTCTTCAAGCGCTCAATCCACTCCAAAGCCTTAGCGTTACAAAGCATGTGAAACAGAACGGTGGGGGGGGGGGCATGGACCACAGCAGAAGCATGAGGCGGCCCAGAAGGGGAACACTGTTTCCATGGAAATAGCTACTCCTACAGCAACTCATACCCTCCATTACAGTTCCTGGCTAGACTCTAATATTACAGAGCCATTTAAATGCCTCAGAAGGAGAAAACTATGGTTTAATAAGTTAAAAAAAAAAAACATACAAAAGTGACTCCTGATATTATAAAATGGAACATATAACTTGGGGGTCAATAGGACGTAGCGTAGTGTGTACTTCATTTCCTGGAAGAGACGGCTGATCTTCTGGACTCTAAGGGCACTTGAACGTTGGGGTGATGCGCAGACGGCAGCAGTGCAGATGATCCAGAGTCAGAGATCGTCATACAGCCAGAAGCCCTGGACTGCCCCCCCACCCCGTGTCTGCTTCTACGTCCCCTGCTGCAGGAGCGCAGACTCATGGCCACGTTATGGGCTGAATCTTCTTTTTCATTTCTGGGGACTTCAGCTCCCCCTATGGGACGGGAGGAATCGCAACGAGAAAGTGATACAACACCATAACACAAGATCAGATTAGGAGGGTGCATGCAGCTGTATCAGTCAGTCACAATTGGAAAATCACATTTTGTTGGAAAAAAAAATTATCACCAGAGAGATACACGGAGTGCCACTAGGGGGCAGTATACCAATTCATGTACGCACCAAGCTGTCGGAGTCTCCCTCGCTGGTCGCCAGCCGTTTTAACTTAACAGTTGGGGAGGGTTGTGACTTTGCGGTCTCCTTCCCTAAGGGGCTCGTAAGTGTCGGACTGGGGGAGCTGATGGTGATGTTGGGACTGCAGCGGTTGGCAGGGGGGCTGGAGAGCTTGCGGATAGGGTTTGCAAAGTTTCCGGACGGAGGGGGCTTCAGACGATCCATCGAGCCGGAACCTGGAGTCACTTCCGGCTTCTTCAGTTTGATGGCGCCCGTTCTGGTGGGGCTGCCATCGAACACGATCAGCTGCCTCTTCCGGGCGCCACTCTCATTGGAGGAGAGAGAGCTGTCAGGACAAAGCAGGGATCAGAAACCTCAGAACCTGTAGGGTTAGCTAATGTGCCATATTAACATCGACAATGCATAATACACATATGCAATTATCACATCACAAGGACCGCAACAGTCAGCCGGGTTCAGAAGTTAGGCGTCTGCAGTATTTTTTCATACCATCAAAACATTATACCACGTTCTATGGTATTTTAAAAATGTTATTTTACAATACAGTTGCGGTGTTCTGAAAAGTACGTCATAGAATTTGTCAAGTGCGTATGTGTGTTTGTGGGGGTTCTAAACGGAGATCATCAAGCCCTGCTGAAACATTTTTACTCATAGGAAATAAAACTTTGCAAGTGTAATGATGATTTTGCCCATGTACAAGAACTCTGCATGCACTCTCCTAGCCTATCTAAATCATCCTCATCCTTGCTGTTGGACTCACAAACGGTGTGTGCATTTGCAAGGAATTTAACACAAATGAGTGAAGAGGAAAAAAAGTGAACAAGAGAACGTAAGCTAAGAGACAATCGGCTTCCATGGAATGGAAATATTTTGTGTTCCAAAGATACGATAAAGATTAAAGGCCAGCGATTTGTCGACAACTTAGGGCAACATCAACTTATTTCATGGACTATATTGGTGAACAAATTCAGTTTGGGTATATTTTATTTTGGGTACATTTAACTTTTTTGTGAACTTCATCGATATTGCAATATCTATAATATAAAAATAAAAAATTAAGAATCACAACATGATATCTGAATTTCTTTCAATATGCTGCCCCCGTGTAGAGCATCTCACTCCTGGTCCTGACACGAGCACCAAATCCTAAACTCTGCGATGCTTTTAACATGATGCGAGTCATTCAGCCCAAGTCAAGCTCATTAATAAAGATCTCAGCTGAGTCAAACAGCAGCACAGGCTGAGTGCCCCCACCCCCAGATAGCACACAGACCGATTAATACCAACACAGTATCAGCACTGGGCAGCTTTAGATTCCGTCTGCAGAGTCACCAGCAAACAAGAATGCAATAAGCCAATGGGTGGTTCTGGTTGGTCGAGTTTGGGTACCTGTTTGCATGTGACCCTGTGAGGCTCCTCCTCTCCACCCTGCTTCCCCAGCGGCTGTGGGGCAGCTTCCTCTGCGGCTTTGGGGTGATGTGCTGCATGAAGAGCTCCGTCAGTCGGTCCCGGTCAGTCTTCACATCGTCCCCAACCTGTATATTTTTCTGTAAGACAAGAAGAGTAACATTACTTGTTGCCACACTCATTGCTCCCGCGGGGCAAGAACGACACCCGGGGATTTTTACCGCCCTCTGTACTTGTGTCCTTAGAATTGGATCTGGTCTTCGGCAATGGAAGATGACGTCAAACGTGTACACGAGAACACAAGTACGGTCAAGTACACATGAAGACTCACCCCAGGTCACATTACGCTTGTGCTGAACACATCTACCCACAATCCCGTTAGCGTGAACGTCACATATTAATTAGCTCAGACTTCAGGCAGATTTAGGTATCAGTTGTAATAAATAGCCGCGTATCGCAGTGCTATGGATTTGTTGGGAGACCGTCATTACAGCCTGAACATCAGGCTAACGGGCTGCTAAGTGTCGTGTCGTCCCGGTTTGCTCAGCCACACACACCCCCGTGAGCGAAAGGTCGCCTTGGCCAGCAGTAAACACGGCCTCCGAAACAAGCCCAGCTGTCCTTAGCCCGTTAGATAGTTCGCCTTCGCCCCGCTAAATCTGCAATCGAGCCTCTGACCTCCTGTAACATCAACTGGATGAAGTCCTGAGACAGAAGTTCGGGGTGCAACAGCATCTGTAGCTCGGAGATATCCTCTGCTGCAGCCCTATCTTCTCCTCCGCGCCCGGCTGCGCATTTCGCCATTTTCATCTCAGCGATCCCAGCAGCCCTTGCGGCCGATCACGTGTCCCTGCAAGGTGCTTCTTAACCTTTGAATCGGGTTTGGTTTTAATTAGGATAGGAAATTACTGCTGGTTATGATTGGCCAGTAGGAGGGACTCTTCCATCTGGAACAGATTAAACGAGGGAAAACCCAGAAAAAAAGACACTGTACAATGCTCAGTAAAAATAAATGAAAATAAATACAAATAGAGCCAGTCCCTGTTAGAAAGGAATACTTTATACAATCTGGTTGTTATGCATCTCCAAAGAGCCCCGAAGTCTAATGAAATCCTTGCTTAAATGATTAAATCCATGTCCTGTCCGTTTGCCCGTTTTGGAACTAACAATATATTTAAAATATTAAGCTTGAGATTGCGTCATAAATACAATGGCTCCGCCCCATTCATCTGCAGGTGAGACCCTTTTGGCTGCATTTCTTGTATCATGATCACACTCAAGAGTTTCATTGCACGGCTGTCTCTGATAAATCACCTAACGGTAGCCAAAGGATCGCTCACAATGCGGCGAAAAACGGTTGAATTTGCAAATTGAAATGCATTGATAGCACTTTACTTGAAGCGCACAAGTAACTTAGTAACTCAGTTACTACTCAAGTAGAAATCATGAACAAATATAAGGGCATGAAATAGCCGTTATGATAGATTATATAATGAAGAACGAACGTGGGATCAGTAGGCAACAGTTTCTGGTACATTCTGCATTTAAGAAAAGTTGAATCACAGCCAGAATTCAGCGCACGGCTTAGTAAAATGTCAGTAAACACAGCAGTCGTGTATTTACACACTAGAACGCACCTACCCTCTGCCCACGTGGGCTCCTTATTCACATCAATGGTTTGCATCCTGCCAAATTTCCACGACAAACTGTTCAGAGTTCTACAATGGCAACAAATCAGTCAAAGGAATGTGCTTCACTGTAAGTAGATCGCTTACACTAGCCTTCATTTGTAATAATTATACTGTTACAGCAGGTGGGTTGCAATGCGTTGTAATAAAAAATAAAAATTTAAATCAGTCACTGCCCCCGTGTGGCGAAACTTCAGAACTGCTATTTCACTACCCTTTGAAGAGGGAGAGAAGCAGATTAAGTTACAATTGATCCAAATGATTTTTTTTTTTTATTCCAGGGAGCCTTTATTTAAACATTACAGCAGCAATTATATTTTTGTTACATGACAGGTTCACAAAATAGGCCAACAAAGTTGCAGAATCTCTGTAGTCCACTGCGCTGTAGGGACAGTTTCTGAGATGTTGGGGATTCCAACGAAACGTGACCATACAGTTGAAGGTAATCTGTGTCACAGGACGAGACTCTGGGTCCCGGGCCGATGCCGACACTATCGCTTCTTCCAGGTGAATTTCTTCCGGGCCTTGGCCTGGCCTGGTTTTTTGCGCTCTTTGACCCTGGGGTCAGGGGTCAGCAGACCAGCTGGTTTGGAAAGAGAGTGAGAGAAGGTCAAGGTTGATGAGGAGGATGGAAGCACAGAAATATCTTCGTAACTGCGCCACATGCCGTGTGCAGTCAACACGACAGATTTCCTGTACTTAACTATTACATTGTGAGGACCAGATTTCCTCACAATGAAATAGAAACCTTTTGTTTTGACATTGTGGGGACCATATTTTAAAAACATGACTGGAACCCAGAAACTATAAATGCCAAAAGTCTTGTGCATTGTTTGTTAAGTATTGTTAAGTCAGTGCTGGGTTAGGGTTCATTGTCATTGTCGGGTTTAGGGTTATGCCCATAGACATGAATGGAGAGTCCCCATAAAGATATGGATACGTGGACTTTGTGTGTGTCTGTGTGTGTGTGTCTGTGTGTGTGTGTCTGTGTGTGTGTGTCTCTGTGCGTGTGTCTCTGTGCGTGTGTCTCTGTGCGTGTGTCTCTGTGCGTGTGTCTCTGTGCGTGTGTCTCTGTGCGTGTGTCTCTGTGCGTGTCTCCCTCTCACCCTGCCTCATGGCCTCCATCTCGCTCTCAGACGAGTAGCTCAAAAGAGCTTGAGCGATAGCCAGTCGCAGTGCCCCCGCCTGGGCAGAACGCCCACTGCCAGTCACGCTGCCTTCTATGTCATGTCGCCCCAACCGATCCAGGAAATGCAGAGGAAACATCAGCTGCTCCCTGTGGGGGGGTTACACTTACTTTTAGTTGTTAGCTGGCATTTTCATCCAGTCAGCGTTGTATCTATTTACTCAGCTGGATGGTTTACTGAAAGGGTTCCTGCTGAAGTACTTTTCTCATGGGTACATTAGCAGATACCTTCTTGGGAAAATCTGCAAACAACTACATGTCTATGCTTTAAACCTCCACAGTACCATCTATACTGCATTCACTCAGCTGTAGGTAAATTGCAGTAAATGAGGTAAATTCAGCTTGAATCCATTCAGTTCTGTACTATCAAATGTCCCGCAAGCCACGTTTAACCCAGGCTGCTGAGATCTGTCTTCAGTATGACAAGTATTCCAGACATTCACAGCGACTGCGATACTCAAATCGTCCAGTAGGTGGCCGTATCGTATCAGTTAAGGTGCCTATAGCCCTTCCAAGCAGCCGGCGCCAGATGTGTGCAGTGCTGCTGTGCAGGAACTGAGAGATTAAACACACACCGGTCCTGCAGAACAGGAAAGTACTGTGTGTAGTCGATCCCGTTGACAGTGATCTTGCCGGAGCCACTGTCCCGCAGCACTGCCGTGGCTGTGGCTGTCTTTCTCCTCCCTGAGGGAGCCAAAGGAAGAGAGCTGAGGAGAGAAGAGGAACCAGAGCCGTAGCGGGTGACTCCGGAGGGGTGGGAGCCGTGGCGGGCTCTGAGGGACCGGGGCTCGCCTTCTGACATCACCTTCTCCTGTGCTGAAGGCCACGCCCCTCTCGTCCAGCTGCAGGGGCGGGACTTGCTGCCTGCGGGACTGGATCTCCAGCTGCCTGCGGAAGCGGAGGACAAACTCCTCCTCCATGGGGCTGTAGGCCATCGACACCAGCTTCTCCATCAGCTGGAGGAAGCGGGAATACTGGCGGAGCAGGGAGAGAAACTGGGACTTAGTGTAAACACACACAAACAGACATTAATATGAGCGCGCTCTAGTGGGCGAGTTATGAACTGCAGCAGATACTACAGAAAGCCCTGATTCTGGGCATTTCTGCCACAGTTACTTAAGGTTACAGTTACAGCGCAATATAAACATTGTATACATTTGATAACTAATGTGGAAAAAAAAATCTCCTTACATCCTGATCAGACATGACTTCCACCAGCTGCTCTTCTAATTCCTCTTTCACCAGCCATCTGCTGCCACCCAGAGAGCTGAGAGGACAGAGATGGGAGACACGAGGGAGGGTGACGGAGAGGATGGAGACCGAGGAGAGGAGGGAGACAGAGGAGAGGAGGGATACAGTTTGGGATACAGTTTGATTTGTTATTCACTGCTCACATTCTGTCATGCTGCCACTGCTGTTTGCACTTTAGCACTTTTATTGACTATTTATTGCCGTCTTGCTGCTAAAATACAGTATAAGTCACAAATACTTTAACACTATTTATTGAAATATCCATATCTTATGGATATTTGAATCGAATGCCACTTTAATAGTAAGTGTTCCACATATAAACAAGGTGACCATACTGCCCCCCAGGATTTCCGGCGGTACTGCGTCTCGCGTACGCGGAACGTTAGTTCCACTCATAGGTGCACCTACAGCAAACGTGACGAATGCAGGACATGCGCGGCAGCCATAATGCGTGAGTGAACACGCTGCGAGCATCGAGTATAAACCAGCCGCAATACTGTCTGCATGTGTGACACTCACAGCTTCTTGGTCTCCTGGGACAGGAGACCTTTGCTCCTCATGCGATCCTCATGCTTCTCCAAAGCCAGCATCTTCCCATAGATGTCCTGGGGGTGGGACAGTAGGGTTATGGCTGATGTAAATGAACCCCCACAGGCCCAGTCACCTGACCCTGTATCATATACAGAGGCCACGCCCCCATCGGCTGGACCTTACCGCTTCCTGTTATGCCCATTGATCCACAGGCCTGTCTGTCACGCTAGGGGGCGTCACTATAAGTCATTATTCTGTCATGATAGGTGGGGTGTATCGGATAATTCAGGAGACTCAGGCGGAGTTGGGGAGGGTCGTTACGGCCCCTCCCCGGCGCACGGCCAGCCGGGCGGATATGAGTGGCGACGCTCGCCAGTGTCTGAGCTGGTGTGGCGCCCACACTGCCCCCGGGCATAAGCGGGAAGCCGCCACTTCTGCGCTGACGGCCGCGGTCTCCGCATGCCCCATCCGCCC